GGTCTCAAAAAGGGTGTGGTTTTGCACTCTACTTATGAATTGGGTATTGCTTTTAGAAGAAGCAACTTTTACATTTTAAGGCAGGCCTAAAACAGGGTATTGGGTGTTGATTTAAGGGTCAGGTCTTAAATAGGGTTTCAATGTTTTTTTTCATGGCATAAATAGGGTTAGGAAAATTGCAGATTTTGGTTTAGGGTTTTGAGAAGTCGGTTGCACACCCCCACCCAATTTATCTGAGAGTACTCCTCCCCCTGGTAAAAAATGAGACTAAAGTGAAAGATAAATTCCATTCATGTTTTATTCATTTCTTCAACTATAGTAAAAATCTCTACACATAAGTGTTATGAAACGCAAAACAGGTTCTGCAGTCATTAGTAACAACTTATATGTTGTTGAGCATGATGCAATGACATGAGACATGAGACATGAGACTTGTTCACTAATGAAAGCCGGCTTATAACTGGAAGAATCATGTAAATATGAGCACATGAGAGTTGTCAGGGCGTGGGTTTTCTTGGAAGGGCAGGTGGTGATCCAGGGGTGTAGCCAGGATTTTTCAAAGGGTGGGGAGGGGGGGTCACACTGCGTCAAAATGGGCTTCTTAACAATGGTCAAGATATCATCATGATGTTTTCGTCACCTGTTGTTGCTTAAAAAAGGCTTACAAAAGGGGGGATCACGGGCACCCCACAACCCCCTAGCTATGCCCCCGGGGTGATCATTATGACAGCTGTGATGATAAATAACACCCAAAATGTCAAAACAAATAGTTGGCAAAGTACAGAAGCATGTAATTTGATCACATTTTCATTATTTTTTTTTACTACATATTATATTATATAACCGCTTAGCCCACCTCACCTCGATTATCACAATGTTGTGTGGGAAAACTGCTGAAAAGCTTCTAATCAGAAACGTACTGTCTGCTAGTTATGATTGTGTCTAGTTGATTTGTTCTGGGCATTAGGGTTGCAAATTAACTCAGTCACTCAGTCATCAAAGGTGACTCATCCCTCAGGCATTTGATGGGCATTTGACAGGTTGTACTTTGTACCTAAGAAAAGATATAAGCGAGCTATATTGTAAACATTTTTCAAGTACATGATGATTACATCCCCAACATTAACAAGTACAGAATAAACTACTGTTGGACCAAGTTATTTCTCTTCCTTGGTGTCCGTAGAGGAGACCACTGAACTAGATCCTTGCAGTGTACCAGGAAATCATGAACAGGAAACAGACTTCAATAAAGGAAAAATTATTCAAATCAATATTGACTGAAAATTAATGTGGCAAAAATTTGGCTCAAGAATCAAGGCTGACATCAGCGAGTTAGTCAGGAGATTTCCTCTAGTAGTAACTGATGAAGGGTTCATTTAAATAAGAGTACAAATATGTCACGAGTTCCACTAAAAGCTTAGCTATAAATCCAGTGTCCATTCAAATAACGATACTCTCGTAACAAACAAGCCCAGATATCCACAAAATTTCCCCTGTTAGTATAAACAACCAGTTTGGGAAATGAATCGTCAAGGAAAGATTTTAACCCAGTTCCCATTCCTGGTTACTCTTGCCTGCTTCATGTACCCAAGTCCCAGGGAGGGTACTTGCAGTATACATGATGGGAAGGGAGTCTGAAGTATTTTGGGGGGTTGAAATTTATACCCTCTGTATTTTTTGGGGTCGAGATCTGTCACATATTTTTTTAGGTCTTAAAAAAGTATGCGGCCGTATTTGGAGAGCTTTTACATCTCTAAGCGAAATTTTTGCTGCATTCAGTGGATCTGAAGATTATTCGTTTGAACTTTTTTTCAGCAACGTGTGAGTTCTGGAAAAAATAATGACATAGTATTGAGGGGAATCCAAGTGTTGTATTTTTCGGGGTAGGAAATTTTGATGCCAGATAGTTTTTTGGATGTAAAATGATGCTGACCATTAGGGCTGTCATTAAGTTTTGATTCACCGGTAGCCTTGACCTTCACACCCATAACAAACTTGTTACCTTATGGGTGAGTGGGGGAATTGTATCAACTACAGGCAAGTTCCCCCATATTACATCAAGGGCCCATCAGCCAAGCTCAGCCATAACATCTAATGTTTAACGAAGCAGGCTTTTATTTTTAAAAAGTACCGATTTACAATTCTTTGTATTTCATGACTAAATTGTCAAATGCCACACCCCCAAGCAGCCCTAAAGGGAGCAAATGTCACACACGTGTGGAAGGAAAAGATGCTTAAGTTATTCTTTTCAAATTTTCGTGAAATTCTGCTTTCTCCAACAAAGAAATTATGAAGAGCAGCTTGTACAAAGGTACAAGGTTCAATCTTAAATGAATATTTAACAAAGGTAATAAGAGATATGCAGCTAATGGTAAACCTCTCATAACACCCTTCTGACTTAGAAACTCTGACTACGAAATAGCAATTATGACCAATTATACCAAATATCAAGTTAGGAAAACTATTTTTACCAAGAGATTATGATCAATCTCTTGTTGTTACCAAGATCTTTTTTTCTGCCAAGACAATTTAAGGCAAACCAGTTTTGTGAGAACTTGTATCATTTTTCATACTGTTACACTCAACTCAAAAACAAGAGTCAAAAGAGCATGTAGTGTGCAAAGAAACTTGTGTCTGATAGTCCAGGGCTTTTGGATTTTCTAGTCAGATCAGGGTATGAGATTCTGTCAGTAACTTGCCAATGGGCTTCTTAGACGCCCTGTACTTAAGAGAAAAAAGAAATTTCTCTAGTTTCTCTAACAAACGGTGGAAAAGTTGGAATTCGAGTAATTTGCTCAAGTTGAACTGGAAATAACGAAAAATTTGATGTGAAGGTTTTGCATGACAAAGCACAACACATGCAACATGCTGACGTAGTTCATTAATGCACAATAGGAAATCAAAATCCTCTCAAGTCTTAATATGACTTGTCATAGTCTAAATGTTAAGTCTTAATTTATGACTTGTTGTTCTCTACTCAACTTGATAAAATGGATGATGCCTGCATGTCATTCTTTTCACCTTGTATATTCTTCAAGTTATCTAGCATGGGACTTATTTTTTTCTTATCTAGTCTTGTGCATTATTTAAGTCATCTAATATAAGTAATCTGACGATAACTAACCCACCTAGATCAGCCTAATGTTACTAGCAGATCAGTTTTACCCTTCTATTAAGGAAGTATTCTGCCTGAAATGTGCCTCAGGGCCTAAGCGAGATGATGGGCATCCCCAACATTTTCATATGGGAATCCTATGGCGTATTTCCTGCTTCTATATCTGTATCGAACAAAAAATAGTTCAAATAATTACATACTACAAACAAAAAGTAGTGATAGAGGGCAAAACAATAAATACTTTCGTGAACTTATGTCATGATTTCTTGTCTCTCACTGAGCATAAAGAGAGGGGAATCTCTGTCTTACAGAGTAACTATAACTATAACCTTGTTTCTGCTTTGAAAGACCTCATCACTTATAAAGCACACGGCTGTAAGATGGGCTATTTATTACCACTTAAGATTTGTAATAACGATATTTAAACATAAAGGCAGTAGTGTACCACTAGGTGTTTTCAGCTAGCCCTTGTAAAATTAATAGACTAAATTAAAATAAACTACTTGTGTTGTATCACAAATGCTGTTGTCTTAGTGGCTTTTCATGAGTTTGAAATGGATTTTCGTGAAACTTTGCACATCTACTAAACTGGGCATGAAAAATCGAGTGGAGAGGCTTATTTTTTGTTTCAGTGAAAAATTTGGAAAAGCATGACATTGGTCTCTGAAAGCAGAGTTCCAGATAAGTGAGGGTAAAAAAAACCCGACAAGATCAGCTACATGACCTGAAAAATTAATAGAAAATTTATAATGATTTGGTTGGGTAGTAGGGATTGAACTATTGGAATTTCTTATAAACACCTTGCCTTGAAAACTTATCTTAAACCTCGTGAAAGGTCCATTAGGCTGATCCAGGATCAGTGTGGATGTTTATTCTAGTTTACGACATTTTACCTTGAGTTATCTTTTTCACATTGTGTGGTCCTAGAAAATATCCATAACCACCCAAGGAGGGATATTGGGTATTGAAAATTCCAAAGGGATGAGGGTCTAAAAGGGAAATTGTTTAAAGGGAAATGTGAACCAAAACTGGAATTTCCAGAGGGACGGGGAAGGGGTTCAAACCAAAACGTCCTCCATGCAGGTGTTTGGTTATTCCTGGATCAACACATTTCCTTCAGTTTTCATGAGGGGGGTGGATAGGGGTATGTAAATCTGCCGATCCGTGCCTTTTTTTTTTGCCAAATCCATTGATCTGCCAATATTTTTGTTCAAATCTGAAGCCACAACCACATCCGGAAACAGAACCGTAAAAGTTCAAAGGTAAACTGGTAAATGTGAATGCTATTGTTAATTTTGCCCAAATAGTAAAGAAAGCAACATGCTTGACGACTATAACACAGTACATTTGTACAATTCCAATAACAGTCTCACACCTGATTTAAAATGAGCTTCATTCGAAAAAAGAAATCGTTTGGATGAACTCGTTAACATACTGACCAAGGCTGAAGGAAGATCTATAATCCAAATTGCAATTAGGACCCAAGATCCGAACATCAAGATGGGCACGATCCGGAATCCGCACCAAAGTTCACAGCTGATCCACGATCCACTGTGTTTTCAAAATCCGCAAATCTGCTTGATTTACTGTAAAAATCCACAATCCGTGCACTTTTTAAGGCCAAATCCGTCGATCTGAAAACCTATTCACCCCCCTCTTTTATGTTGGCTTGCCTCAAATCAAAACAAAAAAACATTAGAAACCTTCTTGTGCAAGAAAAATGAAGTCCTTAATCAACTTTTTATCCTGGATCAGTGTTAATGTGTAGTTCCAGAAAAATATCTATACCTCCCCCACAGAAGGGATTTTCTCTAACACCTCCCCACCCCTCTGGAAATTCCAGTTAAGCTTCATACATTTCTTTAAATTTTTTAGTCTCATAGAACTCCCCACCCCCCAGGAAATTCCAATCCCATTCTGTGGGGGGAGTATGGATATTAATTTTTCTGGAACCACACAATCAGGTTTCAAACAACTCGGCCCTGCTTAGGATGCAGAGGTTATGGCCTCCTGTGCAGATGCACTTTGGGCTCGTCACACAATCTTCCTCATGGGTGAGGAAGATTGCGTGATGAGCCCAAAGGATGTCTGCATAGGAGGCTACAGAAGTTATGGCCTGTGGCCGCTTTTCTGCTATGTCTTACATGTTGGAAGGTTATAATCCCCAATCAAATCAAGTTCAAAGAGAGTTGCGACTGTAATGAAGACTAAGTAAATAATAAGAAATGCCATTCCAAGGCACTTATTTAAATGCCATTTGTTTGCTACTACCAGAAATATGGTCACAAACACAGTGCCAAATAGAGATATTGATGTGTAAATTATGCTGCCACTCAGGACAGCAACATAACCTCCTGGGTCCACAGCTGACGTCTTCAGTAGCCAAGGGAGTCCGAGGCACAGTAAAATGTCAAAAACATTGCTGCCTACTGTGTTAGAGACAGCCATGTCACCATCTCCTTGACGTGCAACAATCAGGCTAGATATCCCATCAGGCACACTGCTCCCTGCAGCCAGAAATGTGAGGCCCATGATGACATCTGGGATTCCAAGTGTGAAGCCTATGATTGTCACCATCCAAACCAAAACATAGGAGAGTAATGCAATCCACACCACCGATACAAAGAATGAGACGAGATACCACTTCTCCCATTTGTCACTGCGGCAGTCGGGAATTGTGACGTAACACAAACATGCGACTGGTAACGCCAAGATCCACAAGACTCGTGAAACGAACCCCTGGGGCATTGAAAATGGCGACTCGTCACTTTGGTCGATAATTTTAACTTCCTCTGCAGCACCGGAAGGATTTAACCTTTCTTCGCCATCCCCAGCATCGCCTCTCAAGAGGGATTGCTCTTCATCGCTACCTCTGCCATTTCTTTCAATATCAGTTTCTCCATTGTTAATTCTTGTTAGCCTCTCAAAGCAACCTTCAAGGCTTGTGTTAAAGTACATGATAACCACGTACAGGAGGTACATGGTCACCAGGACTACAGCCTCGTACCAGTAAACTTTCTTGTCGTAACTGATTGCGATCAAGGCCGCGATACTCAACAAGTAACATGTACAGTCACGCAACAGAGGCCAAGGCGTAAGGCGAAGCGCAGATCCAGCGAACAAACCGCATATCGCAACAATGAAAAGAATATTGAATACCGCGGATCCCACAATAGTTCCTAGGCCAACGTCGCTCTTTGTAATAAAAACGCCAATAACTGAGGTAAACAGCTCAGGGGCAGAGCTTCCAGCAGCCATGAAGGTCGCACCGGCAACATCAGAATCTATGTTCAACTTTTTGGTGATCTGTTCCAATGAAGGAACGAAATAGTCGTCGCACACCACAGCCAAGGCACCGAACATGTAAATGGCCAGAAGGAAATGAATAACGACGCCTCCTTGCTCTCTTCGCTGGTACTGAGTCATGAAATCATCGGGGAATTCGTCTATAGAGGGTTTAACGCAGTTCTGAGGCGGCGCTGAGATTTTGCTTCGTTCAAGCTCGGTCGATCTCGCCTCTCGAGTGGAACGTTCAAGTACTAAATCAGTTTTTCGTGTCATGGGCGATATCGACTTGTAGAGCAAACTTGGGTACATGAAACAGGCGAGAACAACTACCAAAGCATATCGGGTTAAAATCTTTCCTTCTCGAGCCATGTTTCGGTAAGACCTGCACATACGATTTCAGGCGAAAAAAACGTGTTTCGTGATTTTCAATTTGGTGCAAAAGTGAAAATTTTTCAGCAGGGGTAGGGGTGGGGATTATCATTCTCTAACCACAACGTATTCGCTCTTCTCAGCTCTACTCCGTCAGTGGAATAGAGTGTGGTCACGTGACGTCATCAAATTCTCAAATCCCAAACTAAAGATCCCCTAAAGGTCAGACATAAGAGGTACTAAATTGATATCCGCTTACAAGTTTCCAGCTCAACAGCGTCTTTCGTTTGGAAACCAGTGCATTTTAAATTTCGGAGTTATGGCGGTGCGTGACATGAAGCTAAGATCGCGTTTGTCGAAAAATATACACTTATCTCGTGATTTTTAACCATTTTAGGAGTTGAAGTATTAGGAAAAGTGCTTGTGTGAATGTTTTTTGGTTCGGTTCAGATAATCAGGTGATAATCAATCAGGAGGCATGCAAAGCCTCTGCTGCGTCGTGTGCTTTCTGCACGTCATGCGGCGCAAGCGTTGCGAATAGAGTTTTGGACATTATGCCGGCATTATTTTGAGCATAATGTGAGGCAATAGAATCGATCATTTTGCCGGAATAATAGAGACACTGAAACTGGCTGATGGCCTGGGCCTTGGCAGGTGCCTGGGCAAGTCGTGACTGACTTGTGACGATATATAGCTACCTGTTGGTCTCAGCATGAAGGAGAGCTTCCAAATTGGTCAAATTGGGCTTCAGCACACAATAAGGTTTTGCTAATTCAACCCACCAGAGCAATGGCGTCGCTCACGCCTCAATATAATTAGCGTTAAGCTTTATCTTTTACATGTAAGCATGACGGAGTATAATAGTGACGCCTTTGAAGCATAATAGGATCGTGATTTTCAGCAGACAATCAAGGCATGTTGCCTTATTTTAATAACATGACAGGGACATGAATTTTGTGATCTGACACGGCTGTCTTTTATTCAGAAAGAAAACGAGTGCAAGATAACAAAGGTTTAAACTCGGTGTTCTAAAATTAATTCAAAAAGAGAGTACAAGATACAAGCGTCGTTAATCATTATGGTAATATTAGTATGAATGCGAGTGCAATGAAGCATTTACACTGCGAGTGATATTTAAAATTTCTCTCAAAATTGCACGAGCCTTTAGGCGAGTGTAGGTTAAAAGAATTTATAAATATCACGAGTAGTGTAAATCCTTAATTGCTCGAGCTTTCATACGATTACTCATTTACAGTATATGACTGAGAAAATTGCGAACGCGCGGGCGTTAATTTGTACTGCAGTGCAAATTAAGAATTAATGATAAATTGGCTGCTCTCAACCAGTCACAATGAAGGATTTTTTTTCTCAGGTCTTACTGCCCAGTGTTTTGTATAAATTTTCTATGTAGATTCCACACTCAGAGGGCCCCCGTAACTTTGACCTATCTGGTTTGTGTTACAAGCCTCCGCTCTCCTCAAGAGAGCCCTCAAGAAATATTGGTACTGTCCATGGATTTAATGATTAAACCATTTCGGTGTCACGACATCTGTCATGACACACGGAGACAACAAAGGAAATTGCTCTCTGCACTTGAAACAGTTATGACCTTTGCAATGTTCACAAACAGAAAACGGACACGTGAGGAATAATTTCTCCGATTATCTCTGTTAATTTTGTTTTGAATCTTTAAAATTCTAAATGTATTAGAATCTCACTCACAAAATGTACCAAATCTACATTGTGGCCTCTACGGCCATCTCTCGAATCTCGAGATATTTTTCCGCAAGACCGATAAAAGAAGCCATAGCGAAAACGCAAAGCACTTACTTCGACAATTTACAACATGACTTAAACAGAAAACGATCGATGAACCAATCAAGTCGTTTCCTAGTCTTCTCATGTGGGAAGTCACGCAACGCTCGGGGAACGTTGCATGACATCCCAAAAACGGTTACTAGTCGCTTTCCACGCATTTAAGGAAAAAAATCGCGAGGCCTTGAACACAGACGCCCTCAGATTTTAGAGTTGGACCATTAGATTAGATTAGGAGGGGGGGAGGGGAGTGTAAGTACTTTTTCGACCCAGAGAAGAGGAAAAATGCGCGCAATGAATTAACCAAACACCTCAGATGATAAAACTTATGATTTATTTAATATTCTGGATATTTACTCCCAACCTACTTTACCCCAACCTCCACCCTCCGCACATTCATCAATTTGCACTCCCTCCTTAAAATGTCGTCACGTGTTCCTCTTCGTTTCTCTGCGAGCACGGGCACGAGACAAACAAACAGCCACGTGAACACCTACACCTGTACTCACTCATTGGGCATGGACCTAAACATAACAGACCCGAAGCGGAATACGCCGTAGGTTAGTTTTGGGCAAAGGATTTCAATGATTCCTGATTGATTATTGCTAAGTAACTAGTTTTCCTAAATGGTACAAAATGCTGCCGAAGGGAAGAATGATGTAAGGAGTGTGCAGAGCAGGATTGTTCCCATACAGAGCCCAGGATTGTCGGAACAGTAACAAACTGGTTTATTTAACTTCTCGGAATACAGCAGTCGGCTGCATGCAGCACTAAGCCTCATTACATTTTCATTGTTCTCTTATGGACGAAACTCGCGCTCTTATACAAGTACACCTGAGAGTTTCCAGAAACTTCTCAAAGGAATTGAATAGCATTGTTGCAAGGTTTCTAAATTATACATTCGTATACAAATTATACGAATATTACATGAGAAATACAACATTCCAGAAGGTTTTAGATCACGGCTGAAGGACTTCCGGTTGGAGATTTTTAATAACAAGCCGTGATTTTTGCGAAGGATTTGATTGAAGTATATCCTTTCCCCGTGTGATTTCCAAAATGTTGAGTTAAGTTGTGCAGGTAGAATATATAAAAGGTACCGGTAAAATCTGTGACTTCAAAAATAATATTAGCTTCAACAGATCGCAAATAACACCTGAAAATTATAGGGAACTCTGCTTCAAACTATGAAACAGCTGCCTGGTTAGAAATCAAAATTTTGCTTTTGCACAATTAAACATCATCAATAGCACAATACAACGTCGAACCTTTTTCAACTGGTTTACTTCTACAAATCTAGTTTTGAGAGTTTTAATGTTTACGGTAAGCAAACGATAAAATTTTGAAAACTGACTTGGTTCTATCACGGCGGGCGCCTTAGCCCTTCAAACTTCTTCTTTTCTGTATTAACTGATGCTTCTGTTGTCCAGGCTCACTCACTGCGCAGCAATAAAGGATAACAAAAGCGTAAAAAACCCAGCAACAAGCGTAAAAAAACAGAACAATTTACTCAGCTGAGAAAACCTCACCCCCGAACAGTCTTCAACGCGAGAGAGCACATGGAAAACAGCGCATATTAATTTTTCCATTCGCGCATAACCACAATTCCTTGCGCCTTTGATCTTACCGCTACCACAATTCCCTGCGTTTCGCAAAAACGCGTTCAGGGCCCCTTCAATGTGACCTTCTCCCGATTAGAGAGCTGCCTCGTTCGTTCGCTTCAGGCTCGCTCACCGCGGCGGCAACTAGTGTAAGCTAAAAGTTTGTAGAGAAGATCAAACGAGTATTCCGGTGTTTCTGGTTTTAGTTCAGACAAAGCCGGGATTCTAGGACGCCTCTCTAAACTCGTGTAAATGGCAATTCGCAGGGCTGTGTAAAGATGGTTTCGTTAAAATGCAAACGGACATTTACCAATGCGGTGCCGCTTGTCCATAAAGCTATTGGCACTACATTTACAACTGCTAACAAGATATGTCTTTTTCATCTTCTTCGCCAAACAGCCATGACAGTCATATTCTGATAGTGTGTCTCGATCGCTAGAGAAACTCTGGTGAAAAACCACTCGATCACCAGTTCAACTGAAGTGTGAATGGCAAAAGTCTGTAGCAACGTCAAAGGATGATCTTTTTCGCGGAAGTACATCAACTGATATAAATACAAGAAGCCGTTAACAGACACTATAGCAGTTGATTCATACAACATGCTCATGATAGCGATATCAGCCATTAGTCTTTCACGGCGAGGAGTACGAAAACTTCCCCAAGGAGCTGATGTTCTTTTGCAAAACAGATGAAAAACGTGATCAATCACAACAATGGTGCTGCGTTCTATGACTTCTGTAGCGCCATGAATTATTCCAAGAAGAGCAATGGAGTGCAAGGTACCTAGATCCGCGTGTAAAACTCGAAAAGTTACTGCCGTGCCAAGGTACAATGGCGCTAGTAAGACATACGAATATCGTGGATGGCTAAGGTCCCAGCACCGTTGAATTCCAACTCGTGATATTGTTTTGAGAGCGACCCCAATGAGAGGAGAAAAGACTGCAATAAGTAGCTTTCCTTCTTCGTTTTCCCTGCTATATGCTGGATAAAGAAAGAGTACTACGGTAGTTACAGTGAAGAAATAAAAAAATGCCATCAGTGTCATTTGTAGGAACAATGTTATCCGTTTTCTTCTTGATGACCGTGTGCAGAGATGTTTCGTTAACAAATGGACTTGCCAACAAACACTGATGAAAAGCAAAACTTTGAGCGGAAGCTTTTGTAACGAAGTTAACTTTGAATGAGACATTCTTAAAGCTAGCAGAGTAACACGAGTTTCCTTTTCACCCCCATTAACTGATTTGGACGGAAAAGTAAGAACAAACTTGTGAAGAACCAAATGTGTTAAAAAAATTCAAAGATGACATTTGACATTGTTCGCATCCACTGAACCTGCAACGGAATTGATGTTGCTGGGTGCAGTTCGCACTGGAGTTTAGTTTTAAAACAGAGATACGAGAGCAACAGGTATACTATACCTATCGTGGTCGCTGTAAAAATGAAAATCAAAGCTCCATTGTACATTGATTTACAAATTGTTCGTAGAGCGGATGGTCTGAGTCGCTTCCAAGCCATTGCTCTATCTTCATCTTGCTGATCTTCCTGTGTTTCATTGTTCTCCTCTGGTAAACTTGCGTCTATAAGTCTTGCATTTATTTAATTCTGCTGGATCTTATGAAGTCTAAACGTGTGGCTTCTCTGTCGCTGTATTCTTGATAAATACACTCCTCATCAGGATCTCCGTGACGATACCATTCTCGACCTGTGCTTTCTAGAGGATCGTAGCCAAAAGACTCTGTCGTGTATTCAGGTTCTTGTGGGTTGTAGTGCTCTGTCACTCCTCGTGTAAAACTGAACACGATATGGCCAAACACCTCTATCACTGTACTGCTACTCATCTCACTTGTCATCAAACCAGTAACAACTATGTCTAATGTCTACAATGCTAACAGCCTTAAAACCTGAACTGACGTATTGAGAGAACATCGTTGCGAAGATTTAAGAAAGTGGAAACTCTTCTTCAAGGCGCTTTCAGAAATGCTTTCTGGTTAGAAACTTCCACCAACGAATCGAATGGTTTGCCCCAGATTTTCCAATCGCATAGATTTTCTGCTTGAACTTGCTTGGGCTTCCTCAATGTAAATTAGTGGAATATTAGCTTTCGAAAGCTAGAATATGAAAAAAGAAAATTACTACCTTTTTTAATCTTCATTCTTGACTTCCTCCGCTCTTTATGCCGATTACGAGAGGAGCAAGCCCGTGGCGGGATTCCCATATAAAAACGACGGGGGTGCTCGTCGGAAATTTTGAAAAGCACCCCTAAGAGGCACCAAGTTCCTGTTTTGTGGGCGTGGCTTGAATTTTTTTTTAACCCCTAAGTTCCAATTCTAAAACAACTCGTTATCTCCTGTCATACGTTTTTCTGATCAATACCCTAAAAGATACCTTAAAAGCTTCCGCTGTGGACCCTTTGAGGCTGAACACCCTAAGAGATATGAAAACCGCTTTTTAACCCCTATAAGGTACGACTTGAATCCCCGTCCTTTATATATGGGACCTCCCCGGGGATGAGGAAGACACTCTTGGTGCGAGTCAAGTGTTGTTTTAAAGTGCTTTAACGCGACTCGATAATGGTAACTTGTGATCAGTGCAAAGAAGTAGAAGCGTTTTATTGTTTGCTATGGATTCACTCATGGTCATTAGATAGAAACCCTTCCACAACATGGACACCAGGAAACCGCATTCCGTTCCACTGTTCAGACCTAAGTCTCAACAGGTTTAGTTTTACGTACAATCTTGACTGCTTTTTCTTTTTCCTGTATTCGGAAATTTTGCCGATAATTTTCCAAAGCGAGGGGTACACCTGTTATGTGAGTAGAGACCTTTACTGAAATTGAAATCCGTTCAAGTTTAAAATGACTTTTCACCTTTGTTTTAGATCATGGCTACGTGAGTGAATGCGGAGGTGGTAATGGATTTTGAATACAATTTGACATAGTGGCGTTCCCTGGCAACGGTCGATTCACAAAGGAACGAGAAACGACGTTCACCTTCATTTCTCAAACTCTTAATAATTCATTAAGTTAAAACAAAGAAAATCATTACCCGGTCTTAATTAGCATAGATTTTCACGATTTTAGTTCTCCGTTTACTCTTTAGTTTTTGTTTCGATTGAGAAGATCAGTATATCAAACACTCGAGATAGTGTTTCATCTGCTATCCAAACACCTCGAATTTCGTCAAAATTACTCCGCTGCGCGTCGTATTCTCAACTCTTTTCTCGGCGTTTGGGTATCCCGACGAAACACACTCTCTCGTGGTAGATATATTACATCATTCACAGAGCCTATCCCGCCTGCCCCCGCAGGCCAAGAGAGACCCTGACTCTGATGAGATGCCCACCACTATATGTGTTCAAAATGTAATCTCTCGAACGGAATATTCACGCAGGGCTGACTTAAAGACTCTTTAACGCGTCCATGTATAAATGCCAAAGGGATGTACTAGTCCACAACGCCACCGATACTGCAGTTTCAGTTGCCAATAAAATGCCCTTTAAACAGCCATAATAACCATGTTCTGTTAGTGAGTTTCGATCACTTTGAAAATGCTGGGGAAAAGCCACTCAGTCACCAACTAAACTGAAGTATGAAAGGCAAAAGACTGCCAGGGAATCGTTTTGTAAGTAAATAAATTGCCACAAGTACAAAAATTCGTTAACAGACACTGTAGCAGTTGATTTCCACATGACCATGATAGCGACGTCAGTCATTAATATCTTTTGGCGAGGAGTACAGACCTTCCCGTCCCCACAGAGCTAACGATCTTTTTAAAATTCTATCACTGACAAATGCGGTCAATCCCAGCCATAGTGCAGTGCGGCGAATTATTAGTGAATAGGCTTCATACATGACTACGTCACACGCTCAAAATTCACCGTCAGGCCTCGTTGGCGAAAAGGTTTCGGCTTCAAACCTCCTACACCCTCGTGTTGTTTTCACGACGGTATTGTGGTCATCTTTGCTGCGTTGGGAATTTATCCACAATAAAATCTACCTATATACGTGCAGGGTGTTGTTTTTGGCCTCGCTACCCTGAACAAGGTATAGAATTTTATGAGAATCTGTCCTAAGAGGGGTCTGAACCCATCCTGAACAGGGTATGATCGCACGTTTGCTGTCATTACCTGTGGTTTAACAGTATGTTACAAGCCGAAATCGGAGACGTTTGCCGGTGTTTAGATGGTCACTACTTAGTCAGCATCACTCAATTTTCAGGATTATGCAGTACTTGTATTGTTGTCGATATCCTCTAATCTCATCAAATCTTTTGTCCTAAACAGGATTCTAGATAGTCTTGTCCTACTCGTCAGGGATTTTTCTTTGTCTTGGGTCAGGGTTTCAAACCACCGGCGACACCCCTATACCCAACCATTGGTCAAATACCACCCCCCTGCACTGTCCTTGTTTCTTACATTAAGATACATGTACATCTAGCACAAATTGTCTAATTGAACCCGAAAGTGCCTATTACTTTGGCTAGAGTACATATGTAAATGTTGGATTTATTGAGTTTCACACGTGCAAAATAAAAAATAAAAAATTAAAAAAAATAGTAATAAATAATAATAATAAAAAAAAAGAAACAGAGAGACATAAAGTACATCAAGTTGCAAAACGAGTGCTACAAATATAATACAGACCTACCGAAACACTAGCCGAAAAAATTCTTGTTTTTCGGCCATTTCAATTTCAGGAGAAAGATAAAACAAACAGCGGTTACACATGTTGTAGCATACAAAACGTAGAGTTTTTAAAATATACCATAAGAAACCCGTTTGTTATCGGTTTGTAACCGCTGTTTGTTTTCTCTTTCTCCTGAAACACTAACCGTATGTAGGTATAGAACATACTTCATTTAACTAACTAAGCGATGACAAACAAAACTCTCGTAAAATATTTCTACACAATTTTCATCACGATATTTAAAGTAAAGTTCTATTATGAATTGATTAACTTACTGGCAGTAAGGAAAACAAACCAAACACTTGCACATAGAATACTTGTCTCTAAAGAAGACCACCGTACATACTTCCTATAGCCAGCTTACTTTCATTTTAGCTGCTCAATATTCCCACGTTTACTGTACACACATTAATCATAACATTTACAATTTCCTCAAGGGTGATTGGTGCATGAACTGCTGTGTTTTACTCTAGTTAATGCAACAAATGCAGGACAAAACAGCAGAACAGTTTAATAATTAAGCATTTTTATTTGTAATTTTTATCCTTTGGAAATCTATAAACATTTTATCATATTTGTACATTTTAGCCTTTTAAGTATTTTTTTAAAGTTTTTATTATTTCTACTCTAATTTCAAATTTCTAAATTGTACTTAATTTTTTAGATCTTATAGATTGTACATATCTTTATTCCCCAGGATCCCTGTGGATACCAGCCTCGTTGCTGAATGGGCTACCGTGGTTACTTACTCAGTCACTTGCTTACTAAAAGTTAAGTTTCAACATTTTAAGTCTTCCTGATGGTTGCCAGAGTCTCTACTGTCCTCAGTAGCTTATGTCCTCAAGTTCTCTGGTGAATTTGATGTAAAGCTGACCCATACCTCTTGGCGCTTATCTCCAATATATGTGACTTAAAATTTAAGCGTCTACTCCCCCTGGGTGGGTTGCTAGTCCATTGCTGGTTACTCTACAACATTCTATTAGGTTGGCCCAACAATTCGCCGGTACCCATTTATACTCCTGGGGGGAGAGAGGCACTGAAAGAGTAAAACTTCTTCCCTAAAAACACAAAATAATAACCCTGGCTGGGCCTGGAAGGCTGACCGCTAGATATTGGGTCAAGTGAACTAGCTATTAGGCCACTGCGTCTAATGGTTAGTTAAGCGGCAGTTTAGCCCTCAGATAAAGCTCTTAGATAAAGTCCTCAGATAAAGCCCTTAGATAAAGCCCTTCGATAAACTAGCCCTTAGATAAAGCCCTTCGATAAACTAGCCCTTAAAAAAACCCTCCGATAAAGCCCTTAAAAAAGCCCTTACTGATGTAAAGTCCTTACATAAAGCCCCTAAATAAAGCCCTTAGATAAAGTCCTGAGATAACGCCCTTAAAAAGAGCCCTTAAAAAAGCCCTTAGATAACGCCCTTAGATAGTCCTTAGATAAAGCCCTTAAAAAAGCCCTTAGATAAAGCCCTTAGAAAAAGCCTTTAAAAAAGTTCTCAGATAAAGCCCTTAAAAAAGCTCTTAGATAAAGCCCTTAGATAAAACCCTTAGATAAAGACCTTAGATAGTCCTTAGATAAAACCCTTAAAAAAGCCCTTAGATAAAGCCCTTAAAAAATCCCTTGGATAAAGCCCTTTAGATAAAGTCCTTAGATAAAGTCCTTAAAAAATCCCTTAGATAAAGCCCTTAGATAAAGTCCTTAGATAAAGCGCTTAAAAAAGCCCTTAGATAAAGCCTTTAGATAAAGCCCTTAGATAAGGCCCTTAATAAAGCCCTTAGATAAAGCCCTTACATGTAAAAAAAGTCCTTAAATAAAGCCCTTAGATAAAGTCCTTGATAAAACCCTTAGATAAAGCTTTAGATAAAGGCCTTAAAAAATTTCTTAGATAAAGCCCTTAGATAAAGTCCCTGATGAAGACCTTAGATCAAGCCCTTAGATAAATGTCTTAGATAATTAAAGCCCCCAGATTAAGCCCTTAGGGCCTGTTTACAAGGAGGGAGGGTTATCCTAGCAAGCGGGTTAACCCTAGCTGGAGGGCAAAAGATAGTCCGGGTTTACAAGCAAAATTTTACAAGTAGGGTAACCCTACATCCCGGGACAACTTAATGGACGGTTACACTTAAAGGGTCTGGAAACAATTAGAAAGTTAACCCGGGTAGGCGGGTTAACCCTACCTGGAGTGTTTACAAGGGAAAAAGTTAACCTACCTGCCAGGGCAACTCCCGCACGCAGATATGGTAACCCTCCTATCCGGGTAACCCTAGCAGCCTTGTAAATACGACGAAGAAATAAAACAGGAAATGTGCGAGTGCTAGGGTAACCCTCTCTTCTTGTAAACAGACAGGCCCCTAGATAATAGTACATTTTAAATCAGTTTTTCTCAAGTAAACTATCTCCTTTGGCTAAAGGTTTCACGATGTGGTAGCTCTCTTGCGTAGCGTCTTTAGCTAAACGGCATTTTACAAGGCTGGCTCAAAGATTCGTTAAAGCGCCCATGAGCAATTAATGAAAGGAATGTACTGGTCCATGATGTTACTATTGCGGCAACAATGGTTGCCAATAAAATGTGCCTTTTCCATCTTCTTCGCCAAACAGCCATGACAGCCATATTCTGATAGTGAGTCTCGATCGCTAGAGAGACGCTGGTGAAAAACCACTCAATTACCAGTTGAACCGAGGTTGTGATAGCAAACGACTGCAGCAACTTTAAAAGGGAATCGTTTTGTAAGTAAATAAAGTGATACAAGTACAGAAAGCCGTTCACAGACACTATAGCAGTTGATTCAAACAACATGCTCATGATAGCGATATCAGCCATCAGTCTCTCACGGCGAGGAGTACGAAAACTTCCCCAAGGAGCTGATGTTCTTTTCCAAATCACATGACAAATGTGATCAATCACAACCATGGTGCTTCGTTCTATGACTTCTGTAGCGCCGTGAATTATTCCAAGAATGACGATGGATTGCAAACTGTCAAGATCTGCTTGCAACACTCGGAACATAACCGCTGACATGCACCACAAAGGTGCTAACAAGGTATGCGAATATCCCGGATGGGTAATGTTCCATGACCGCTGTACACAAATTCGTGAGATTACTTTGAGAAGGACTCCAATGAGAGGAGAGAAAAGTGCGATTAGAAGTTTACCATCCTTGTCTTGTTTGTTATAGGCTGGGTAAATTATTTCGGCTTCAGGAATGACAATAATTACAACAGAAAACACGAGAATTAACGTTTGAAAGAAAAACAACGCCTGCTGTCTCCTTGAGCAGCGCTCGAAAAAGTGTTTTGTTAGAAGATAAAATTGCCGGCATGAACTTAGAGTACTGAAAACGAAAAGTGGAATCTTTTGCACTGTCGAAAGTTTGGAATGAGACACTCCTAGCGCTTGTAGGAGCATGCGATAAGATGCGTCTAAACCATATGCAAGGCAAATAACTAAGATCAGTTGTCTCTTCACCCCATTTAACTGATATGAGCGAAAAAGAAATCGAAAAACCAACAATTCCGATCCATACAGAAAAGCAACACAGATGGCATCAGAAATCGATCTCAACCACTGCACTTTCACTGGAATGGTCTCCTTTGGGTAAAATTCGCATCTGTTTATAGTTTTATAACAAACATAAGAGATGAAAATGCATACTGAGCCGATGATTGTAGCAGTTAGTAAAGAAATCATAGCTCCAATGTACATGGATTTACAAACTGTGCGGAGAGCAGATGGTCTGAGTCGCTTCCAAGCCATTGCTCTATCTTCATCTTGTTGATCTTCCTCTGTTTCTTCGTTCTCCTCTGGCGTACACGCATTTATAACCCTTATATCTGGGTGGTTAGACGCTAGATAGTCCAAGCTTGTGGCGTCTTTGTCGCTGTATTCTTGATAAATGAGCTCATCAACAGGAGCATAATACCATTCTCGACCTGTGCTTTGTAGAGGATCGTAGCCAAAAGACTCTGCTGTGTATTCAGGTTCTTGTGGGTTGTAGTGCTCTGTCACTCCTCGTGTAAAACTGAACGCGATATGACCAAAAACCTCTATCAGTGTACTGCTACTCATTGTTGCTTCGAATACCGAACGAATGTAAAGAAAATTTTTGTCAGTGTAATTTGACGGGTTTCTTGTATGAAGGAAACCGAATTGTGTACTCCACGATGACTTGGAACAGGTAAACTAAAATATTCCTGTGTTCCTTGGCATTTTAAAGCTCTTTGGGAGTCCTATTTGCTACCGAACTTTGAAACATTAATTTACGATTGTTTGGAACCAAGTACGCATAAATGAAACTAAAAATTATTGTCATTATTCAGTAATAGTCTATAGATCGTGAGGCTGTTTCATGTGATTCGCCTCAGTAAACCCAAGCCAAGGATATTGTTATGTTGAAAGTCTCAATTAATAATATGATACTCATTAAAACTGCTGTGAAATAGTTTTTTTATTGTAGAGTTGAGGCATGATTTCAAAGATACATTGGAACAATTACGACAAGCAAATCATTTTCCGAGCATTCCGAACCCACCTTTATTTTTAAGTCATCTTGCTGAGTTAGTTAGAAAGCATTATTGGAGAACAATAGATTCCCTGCTAGTTATGTGGTAAACATCTGGTTCGGAAGTAAAACTTGCATCTCGAAGGAAAAATTGTGTGGAAAAATTATTTAGTAACGTTTTTTTTTTCTTGTTAGATTCAAACGGACACAAGACAATTCTTTCCCCTTAGGTTTCCAGCGCTGCTTAATTTTGGAATATCTTGTTCTGTATCATTGAGAGCTGGTAACCGAAAAACCTTGTCAACAGGATGTGGATACCAGTCTGCTCCCGGCGTTCTCATTGAAGAGGATCGAAACTTGTTTTCTCAGTTATTAATGCCCTTTTTCTTGGCTCGTTTAGAACTGCTAGCTCCACTGAGACACCATCACTGTATTGGAACTTATTTCATTTTGAATACCATGGAAAATGGTTTAAAGTAAAAAGTATGTTATTGAAGTTAGCAACGGGTCCATGAACTCTTTGAGCCAAATAAATTGAAATCTCTCAGTTTCTAGAAGGTGCAACTGAAACCCTCAGGCTAACGCTGTAACGAACATCTCCTGTCGAGAACGTACCATGCATTCAACGCTTTCCGGTTTATAGAAGCAAGAGATGATAATCTAATGATAGATGCTAGTAGAGGGAAACGTCCCGAGAATTAGTCAACTGAATTTAAACGGTCATTAACTGAACTTAAGGTGACCAATTTATTCCAGAACTCTCTATGCATGTACAGGCAGACATAAATAGGCAGACATAAAATAGTCGATGAAACGAAAACAACCCCCCTGGGGGACTCCCATATAAAAAGGACGTGCGTGCTCGTCGTACCTTGTAGGGGTAAGGTAAGGCGGTTTTGGCACCTCTTAGGGTGCTCAACCTCAAAAGTTCCACAGCAGGAGCTTTTGCGCTCTCTTGTAGGGTACTGAGCCAAAAAAAAAAAAAATGTGACAGGAGATAGTTGACAATTTTAAAACTTTACGAGTACAGACTGTAGAAGGTATTCGAAGCAATCGTCTTTATTGCTGTTAGAAATAATGAAAGTCAGTTAATGCGCTGTTTTACAATTGGTACCTCTTAGGGGTGAAAAAACATTCAAGCCACGCCCACAAAACAAGATTGTGGTACCTCTTAGGGGTTTTTTTTCAAAATTTCCGAAGAGCACCCCCGTCCTTTTCATATGGAAGTCCCCCCGGGAAACAACCGTATCCAATTGGCTGCAGCCATTTTCCTTTTCGGTGGATCCAGTCTGGCTCTTGACACGTTTGTGAAGGAGTTCAACCACCCGAGAATAGATATAAGTAATGTCTGTAAGAAAGCTAGCCAGAGAATTGGAGTGATCATGAGGTGGAAGAATCTTATACCAACTGAGGCCAAATTACACCTGTACAAAGCAGCTATTCTCCCTCATCTTACATATTGCCACCTAGTGTGGCATTTTGCAGAGCCTCGGACACTCGTAGATTAGAGAGAGTACAGGAGCGAGGACTGCGTGCTGTTTTTAGAGATAAGTTGTCTAGCTACCAGCAGCTGTTAGAGAAAGCCAGTCTACCAACATTGTATAATAGGAGACTACAAGACATATGTATTTTAATGTATAAGGTTAAACATAATTTGTCTCCGCGGACTATTTGTAACATGTTTTATACTAATAGTCACACTTATAGTTTACGGCAGAGAGATTTTCATTTACGTACAGTAGATTTAACACTGTTACGTATGGAAAACATTCAATTCAATATCTAGGCCCAACTGACTATGGAGCAAACTGACAAATAAAGAAAGATTGGTGTTAAATCTCAAGCAGTTTAAGACCCACGTGCAGAGGCTAGATCTAGACAACATCCCAGATGGATGTAGTGGCTGCCATCTTTGTAACTCATAATTTTAATTTCTCTTATAGGACTTTTCTGTATTTTAGTTAGGTGTTATTAGTTAGTTTAAGGTGTTCCCTATTAGCAGTGGGGATAAAGTCATTATTGTTATTATTATCATTATCATTAACATTATCATCAACATCGTCATCGTCATCATCGTCATCATCATCGTCATCATTATCAATACTATTATGTGTTTTGTTGGCGGGAATCTAGCAATTAACACTTAATAACGGGTGAATTTTGTTTCCCTCGAATCTCAATGTTTCCCGAGACCAAGTCGAGGGAAACATTGAGATTCGAGGGAAACAAAATTCCCTGTTCCCCAAGAGACCAGTCATTAAGTGATTTGTTATATAGCAAAATAAATTCCTGCAAAACAACACAAATCCTCAAAACAAATTCTGTTTCCCGCTGAGGGCCCCCTCCTTATGTATCCAGATATTTTTGAAGCCACAACTTTTTCTTTCCGGATTCAAAAATTTCCCCGTCCACACGTACAAAAATATCCAGATTCGCTGCCAAATTCGCTGGATGCGTGTGGACAAAAGCCATATCCGGAAAGAAAAACTTGCAGATTCAAAAATATCCAGATACGTGTGGACGGGGCCTCAGACTTCAGCGACAACATCAGGCCACAGAGAGAAATAAATGAAATAAATGAAATGGAAATAGATAATCACAACAAAGTATGTGAGCGATTTTTTATAATTTGCTGAAAAATTAATATCAACTTGATATTTGATTGAGTATCGTAATTATGCCATATTAATTTACTTGCTTAGTTTTGCTTTATTTTTTATAGACTGGAGATTTTAACAGAAAAAGTATCTAATTTAAGGTTACTGTAAACCTTCGCAGGTGTCCTTAGCGATAAAAATATTACCGCGCTGTCTTAAAGACAACCACCACAAATTATATATCAATGCAAAGGTTATAGAATGCTCTATTCGATAAAAATTGTTTTGCCTCAATTTAATCATAAGGCGAGCGCGACCTAAAAGCGCGAAACGACCGACATTCCATTGAGCGAATTTATTGGGTATCAAACTCGACCACATCAACAAAGCTACTGCATTATATCATTCACGAGGCATCAATCATCAAAACTGTGTGGGGGATTTGCGTTTTTCAAAATTGATCTCCTGCAATGGCCTTCGTCG